AACATTTTAATAATCTAAATGTATATTGAATTTAGAAAACATGTAAATGTTTAATAAATACAAAAAAAGGTTTTACAATTTAATAACAAATTATGCAACTAAGGGTAAGCAGTCAATTTAAAGATTATAAATTTCTCGTACTAGCACTTTAGACGCGCGCTATTTAATTGCATTTTTACTTTTTACTATAATTGACTATAATTATACATCAGCCCTTTGTACCTCAATATACATACAACTGTCAAAGTCAATGTAATGATAGCCGCTCACGAAGTTAGCGCAGCGAGAGAACCAATCAGTGTCGCGGAAAAGAGTCAATAATCAGCCTCTTCAGCACAATCAAATGGGACTTGCGTAGAAATTATTTCCTGTTTAGTCGCTAATTAATCACGCAAATCTCGATTTTTTCACCGCAGCCGTTTCGGAAAAAAAAGGATATTAAACCTTTGATACAGTATAGACCGTTGCGATATAGATGAATGTTTAAATGGGTGGCTCTGTCATGCTTACATTGTTAATATTAATGACATTTACATGCATGTGATATTTTCATGTATTATTCGCGCTTTCTCACTCTTGGACAAGAGCCGGTGACGTGCCAAAACGTTATTGGACAACGTCAGATTTTTGCGACAGCGGTCATCGACTTCGTCGGTTTTGAGAAATCGGCCGCAGGGTCTGATGTCTCATGACGGATAAAAGTCATATTTCGCTCACGAATTATATTTCATTTCTTCAGCCCTTATAACACGCCTACAATTAAATATCACAAAAATTATTTTAAATTGAACAATATATTCAGGCTCCGAGAATTAAAATTTTAAATAAATAATTGTAATGGGCTAGGTGTCAAACAAGGTCTTTGTGCTAATCCGCGTTATATTCATATAAAAAATTACATTAATGCTACCAGACGATCGTTTTGACTTTACATCAAGCTCTCGATCTTTAGTGGTCTTTTATAAAATATTACATATGTGTCGGTTCATCTTTGTGTATTACATACATAATTGTCCGATTTACTCATATTACATTTTTAAACGTTTTGTTAAGGATAGACGTTAATATTAACACATATATGCAATTAGTCCTGTATTATGTTGAATGATTTATAATTGCGTAATGTAACTGAAGAATTACGAAAATTTAATATTGAACAACTTGAAATAAATATTTTAAATAAACTATTCAAATATTGAGCCGTTTAAAAAAAAAGACTTTATGAAGTAGGAGATATCTTTACTGTATGTCTCATCAAGAAAGCAATTATAATGATATACGTTTTAAGAAACGAAGCAAAGATGCGAACGCTTTTATCTGCAGTTAATGAAAATTACAAAAATACGGAAAACTTGTAAGATAAAGCATAATAAAAAATACCAATTTCATATTTTTCTGATAAATTCTTGAAGAAGAACTAAAAAGAGAACTACAAGAACTACAGTTAAAAAAAAGTTAAATATGATGATATGCGTTTGTCTGAAAACTTTATACGTGTTTTTAAAAAATCTATTAAACTAAATCTAAGAATAAGTGCATTTTAAGACTAATATTATAGTTAAGTTTATTATAAAGTATAAATTATTCATGTTTAAGTTAATATATCTTACATAATATTAATTTAGAATAAATTTGTTTAAATAAATTTTAAAAATTGTCAGATGCATTAAATTTGAAAATAATTAAAGGATATAAACATCATTCTTTAACTGCAAACATAAACTTGTACAATTATGTATATATACCTTTTTTAGATAGGACTAGACAAAATTGGCGCGCGCGTAGTGTATATATATATATATATATATA